AAGGCTGTGCCCATGGCCAGCAGAGGAATCCTACTCCGTTGGACCCCTGAGCAAGGCCCTTAACCCCAACTGCTCCAGAGGCGCCATATAAATGGCTGACATGCGCTCTGACCCCAAGCTTCTCTTCCTGTCTCTGTGTCAAATAGAGAGCAAGTTGGGGTCTAAATAAAAAGACAAATTCCTAATACAAGAAATTGTACATGGCCAATAAAGTGACCTTATCTTATATTAACACTGAGATGCAGCAATACTAACCACTGCACCAGCATGAGACACAAAATTGTACATTTTTGTAGAAATTATTAACATTATTATGTGAAAAATGATATACATTTATATACAATATACACATGTGTACACATGTTTGGTGTGCTCAGGTTTTGAACTAAATTAAAGCCAGGAGAAGCTATGAAACAATTCAGTCACACTCTCAACAGAAATAAATTATATGATAAATAAGGAACATGACCGCCAGCAAAATCAGAAATACACGAACTGTGTTGATTTTTTTTTTTGCTCTAACCTTGAAGATGACAGGGTTTTAAAGCAAACTTTATAATAAGCATAATCCAATAATTTAGTTCATACTACTCTCAAAGAGTACATTTTACCATGAGCCCTATTCAGATTATTAAGAAAAATCAAGTCTCTGGACATTTAATAAATTGTAATAAATTGTAATAAATTAAAGGGCTATATTAATCCATCCATAATGTATATAGGAAAAACATCCTTCCAACACATCATTATCATGCAATGCTGAAGAAATTAATGAATCAAAAAGGGTATCAATGTTGTTGATACACAACATTTTTGCTGAACTTCACACAACTCATTTAATAATCTTAAAAGCAACTTTGGTGTACTTATTTTTAACAATGTATACTGTTTAATGTTATTCTGGAATACATAAAGATGCATTTCTAACATGGAGGAGAAAATGTTGTACTTCATCATCAAATACATAGGTTAATACATTTTGTGATTAAATGTATATTGATAGTAAATGTCATTTTAATCAGTGTTAAGTATGAACACAGTGTAAATGCTGTGTAATAGTTCTTGGTCTCCAAGTCCTGCCCTATCAGTTCCCTGCAGCCATAACATTTGTCATGTGTGGTTATTCCTGTGGTTATTAACAACACAACAAAAAATTTACGAGACTGAAATAACGATTCCGTTGCCGACTGGAATTTTCAATTTTCAGCACACACTGTACCTTTCAGCATATACAATTTTTGCTAATGTACAGAGTAGCTATAGGTCCCTGGGTTTAATTCCTGGCATACTTTCTGTGTGAAGTTTGTATGTTCTCCCCAGTTTCATCCAGGTGATCTGGTTTCCTCTCACAGTCCAAAGACATACTGGTAGGTTAACTTCTTCTGCCAAAATTGGCCCAGGTGTGAGTTTGTGTTTGTGTCTGTCTGTGTGTGCCCTACAATGGAATGATATGCTGTCAAGGGTGTATCCTGCCTTGTGACCCTTGATTGCTGGGATAGGCACTGATTACAAAATATATTGTATTATATATTGTATTGCACCATGATTACAAAATATATTGTAATCATGGTAGCAAATAAATGAATTATGTCAAAAAAGCAAATAATGTGATATAAAAATCTGCAGAATTATATAATTATATATATATATTCTTCAGTATAGTATACAGTTAAATTTAGTAATGATCTGCATGTACGTTGTGTATGCAATTAAAATCATCAGATGGAATCTGGTATTACATCTTTGTTCAGACCATGCTATGATTCCTGTAATCTTTCCTTTCCTTTGTAAAAAATATAGCAAATATATCCAATTGTGTTCTAGTAAGTCAGGTAATATCAGTGACATTAGTATCATCCAGGTGGATGCTGCACATTGCTGGTAGTGGAAGGGAGCCCCCATTACCTGTAAAGCGCTTTGAGTGTTGTGTTCAGAAAAGCGCTATATATGAGTAAGCAATTATTTATTATTATTATTATTATTATTATTATTATTATTATTATTATTATTATTATTATTATTGTTATTATTATAAGAATACTACATCAGGTCATGATAAGCACAAATGCACTGTTTATTTACCATTCTAGTACTCCAACATATTATCTTAGTTTCAGTAGAATCTTAACGGACTTTAGCCTCCATTTTGACATTTGAACTAAAATTACTGTTATTTCCAGACCCTTTTTTTTTAATAATAACATAACTGAAATAAGAGCGTATGGTGTTGTCTGACAAAACTCGTGCAAAATCTGTTTCATGACAATTTCAGAAGCATTAAGTGAAGTGTGTGTAACTTTTAAGATGTGAGTCCCTTTCACTACAGCAATGTGATCAGGTTGCCATAATTGATCAACAACCCCTAAACTTATTTTGACAGCGTTATCACTGTAACTCTGTTGTATGTACTCTGTAACTGGAAATGTCTATATTCTATTCACAGCTTCTGTGTTCACTATTTTGAAGTTCTGGGCACTGAAATGACAGAAAGTGGACTTGTGAGTAGTCAAGTCAGGCTTCATTGGCAGGTGACACGAGAAGAACAGCCAAAATATTTTGTTTCTTCTGTCTGCTCTTCAGCATGGAATTATCCTTTACTTGTTCTTTGGTAGGTAAGTGTACTATAAAAATCAATCAAAATGTAAATTTTCACTTTAAGGGTTAAAAACCATCCATAAGTTCATCCTCAGCAATCTTTAGTAGGAGTCACCATTTTATTGTGTAAAAAACAATCCCTACTGATAGTAACCTATATTTTCTGGCTTGCAATAACTTTGAACAAATATATAATGTCTGGTGAAGGTTCTTGTCATGATTTTAAGTTCAGTATATACTGTATAACCATTTTTTTCCACTCTCATAATACTGTGGCACTTTTGGGTTCACATGGGTATGCGCCCTCACTGCTGCCGCCTCAGGTTGGCCCACCGCTGGGGACTTGAACCCGGTCCTCCGGCATCAGTCAACAGGGAACCAGCCGGCTAAGCTAAAGGGAGATCTCCCATCAGCTGAGATCCCTGCTATTCACAGGGAAGGGCGGTGATGTCACTGTGCTGAAAAGCTGGCTCACACAACCTGTAATGTCGGCCATATGCATTACACTCTCCCCCGTTTAATTCGCCGTCCTCGGCAAAGGGCTATGCCATCCCGCTGCTAACACCAATGTAGTGTTTTCGGGTTCACTTGGGTAACCAGCCAGCTGAGCTAAAGGGAAATCTCCCATCAGCCCCGTGACTGAGGTCCCTGCTATTCACAGGGAAGGGCGGTGACATCACCATGCAGGCAAGCCGGCTCAAACAACATATGTGAGCCGTATGTGTTACAATACTGTGTATGTAGCATTCACAATAGGCCTTAGGTGAAATGCTATGTTACAGAACACATTCAATGCATAGTAGAAATGGAAACAACACGTGAATCAGAAATGATCTCATCAACCAAGAGAAATGAGAAATCCCTCACATTAAAGTAAAACTTTCTATATCTTAGGTGTTTCACACTGCATCATTGATATTAAGCTAAATGGTGATACCTATTCCGAACCTCTTTGCAATGTAACCATGAGCGACATGGATTTTAAAAAGGAAGCTATAATAAAAATAGGCTGGTATGTTCAAGACACAAATAGTAAATCCTAAAAATATTCGGTGATGTCTGGAAAAAGTAATGATGACAATAACTGTGCATATTTCTCTATCAAATACATATTGCACTCTGGACTTCTTAGTACACCTACAGACTATTCATTAAAAATGTATGATTTCTGTTAACCTAGCTTCAGTCTTCCTTGCTTTTCAAAAGATGCCTGCGTTCAGTTCAGGGGCTAAATTAAATTGTGTGGCTACCAAGATTAACAGTATCTACCATGTTGCTCTAGATACTAATAACTAACAGATTTACCAGAGGGACTCATCTTTTTTAATACAGTGATAATTAAACCTTTGAATGCAACTTGTAAATAAGTTGTCTTAAACAATTTGGATCAAATTAAATCATTTTTAATTAATGGCCAGAGACAATTTGCTTTTAAAATGCCCATTGGCGAGTTCCTGCCAATATGTTAAGTTCACAGAACCAAACTCATTAGTGTAAAATCAGAGATAACATACAGTAAATACCAAAATGAAAATTTGGTACAGTATGCTCTGGAATGTCAAGTGCGTAGTGGGATATAATGGATAGTAACCTACTCTTTAATCTATATTACCAGTATTGAGATACGTTTCCGTTTGCAACGGAGTACATAAAAGCGCACAGATGGCAGGACTTCATCAGTACATTTTAATAACAAAGCCAGTTGTATTCAGAAGCGTCTTCTTTTCTTTGGTAAAATTCTTTGTCACCAATCCACCACTCTCGTCTCCATCATTCGTCTCCTATTTTACCTCCCAAGTGTAAAGTATTACACAACGTTATTCAACAGCAATCTGCAGAACCCTAATTCTTTTGAATTTGTTTTAAAAAAGGATTTGTCTGTCTCAATGAAAGCAAAAGAATGAAATATCTTTAAATGACCAATTTAGAAATCTTACACATTTTTAGAAAATTAACAGCGGCGAAAAGCTCAGTCGCGGGAACCACAGTAATGTAATAATAAAAATGCAATAAATCACCTCCAGAAGATTAAATGAAAATCTTTTCGGTTGCTTATCAAAGGGATTCCATTTAACATTATTTTGGTCCTCTACATAACACCAGGACTACTTTCTTGATATAAATACTGTATAGATTTAAAAAGATACTGTTAATGCTAAAACACTCTCACATTGTGTATCAATATACCATGTACTGTACATTAATTCATTACCATGGAGATTCAATGGCTCCGGCAATTTTGGCCGCACAGTTCTTAGGTTACTTATCTGATATTCTGTATATTTTATTGGCCTTAAAACAGTAAAAGTACACCCAGGACTAACTAGACGACTATTCAGTTATACTGAAGAACATTTTCTTTTGCTAATATTTAATGTATCTAAAACAATAAAGGGGCGTACTACCTTCGTTGGCGTAGATCGACCTGATTATCTCGTCAACATCCACTCCCCCTTTGGAGTTAAAGGATACAGGCAATAGATGATGTACCTCCGATTCCGAATTAAGAACTTCGTGGACCCCCTCCATTGTGAAATAACAGTTCCGCTCTTCTTTGTCATCATCATAGATAAGAACTGCGTTCTTCCAGCTGAAATAGTTAAACATTGCAGAGAATGTCTTCGCCATTTTTAAATAAGAAGGGGAAACTCTGGTCAGGTGCGTGTATTCCTTTAGTTTATCGCTGAAGCCTGTTGCTAAAGCACCTGCCGAAATCACTGGGATGTTCCAGTGGGATGCCATCCTTATCACCTGTGCTGCAGCGTACTCGCAAACGGGACCAAGAATCAAATCTGGCTTCTTCTTCAAAGACCTATCCACAAGGCTGAAGAGGGCTTCATTGCCACAGTTTGAGTCCTCATAGTGGACTTTAAAAATGAGTCCCGGAAGAAGCCGTTCATCAGTGCTGATCCGCTGCAATGCATATTCTATTGCTGGTTTTACTCTTGGGATGGCGAACATGTATGCGCTGTCTTTTGGCAAAGTAACTAAGACTTCAATTACACTGTCTTCATTCTGTGCACTTGTCTTGACAGGTATTAAGATTAGCCATAAGTATAGGCAGCATGACAGCAAGCATGGCATATTGGCACCTTTGACGGGTATTACGTTTCCTATATTGATATAATTTAAAAACTCTACCATTTTTTTTTTACTTTTCGGCTTTCCGATATAATTTCTTTAAATTGACAAACTCTCAGAGAAATTAAGATTTTCGTCTTAAAACTTTTAAGAAGTTTCTTTTTTTTTTTTCAAAAGGTAGCGAATCTGTGATATGAGGGATCCTGCACTTTAAATCTTCTGAAACCGTCTCAACTTGGTTTTAAAAATCCCCTTCTGTTTCCCTTACTAATAGTTCTGTTTCCCTAATAATTCCTGTTGTTTAAATATGGTAACTGCCCAGCCTGTTACCACACAGAGAGTGGCTTCGGGGAGGAATTTTGAAGCATCTTTTCAGTCTTACTCCTGCGTCATTCTTAAATACTCCACCTCCTTCTTAAAGCCGCAGCTACCGCTTTCAAACCACGCACGTTCAAAGATAAGTTTAAAAAACTTTTTTTTCGAACAAAATGTCTTGATGCTGGTAACAGTATACACTATAACAGCTACAGTACACCGTGCGACGTTGTTTGACAAGTCTGAAAATGAAATGTAAGTAAAAACACAAATTTAATTGGTACTTGTAACACATAGTTATGACAATAGTGATGTCAGGACTGGGTTCAGTTGTACTATTAAAATATCTTTGATTTTCAAGTAACTGCATAAAACACTAAGATTTTGTTTTTCAAAAATACTGCTGAAACCCCCGGCTACAGTATAACATGTAATAACATGCCCTCTTCAGCACCAAAAAGCATTCAACAATAGTGATCACTGAATAGTTACAGTATATCCTTAGAATTTGACTTTAAAAATCAGGTAACCTTTTTAATATTAGCTTTTCATCATAACTTCAATTTGAAAGAAAACGCACAAGCACCTTACATATTCATTTACCTAACATATTATGTTTAGGTTAAAGCTGGGTGTACTGAGCAACGTGTGAATGCGTGATCACTTCTTTCAAGTATTTTCTATAGATGGACATCCATCTTAAAAAGAAGACGAAGGTAGAAAGTTAATCAAATTAAATTATCAGGAATTTGGCTAAAGTATTAATTTTTAAATGAATTAATAAGAATTTCAACAGGTATTTAGATGTATTTTTAAACTATTATGGCAATTATATTTCTTGCTTTTTATTTATGTATTTAATGTATTTGAATTACATTTTTCGATTTACTAAAGACGACTGTTCATGACCCTTATGGGATTGCGACGTTTTTTAAAAAACGAATGGTTTTCATTTAGGAAGAAATTGCATTGCACAAAAATACAATATTGGAATGTATTTTGAAATGTATTTTTCTTTGATTTGTGCATTAATACATTAGGGGGTATTTAAGTTTTACTCTTTTATGTTTTAATGACTTAACGTTATTAACAACAATACCATAATCAATCAGCGCGTTCTCTTGACCGTTCTTTGCGATGTTAAATTCGGAAAAAAAGGTTAAATTGTATTGAAACGCTTTTGCAGACTGCCCTCTGTTGGTGAATCGTCTGCATGAATAATTAACCTGAAATGCAACATAATGTACGTCTCTAGAATTGTGTTTCGTCTGAGAGAATGATGAAACAAATGTCTGTTCAATTAGAGTTGCAATTAGAGAACATACAATCTGTTAGATCTTGCCCAAATGCGTTCACAATGATAAAAAGTGGTATAATTCATTTTGGCATGGTGTGTGCTTTTTTGACTAACGCGTATCAATAACAAAATATTGTATAATACCTGCTTAGGTTATCATATTACGAACAAAAAAGAACCACGCGATTATCTATTCTCATTAGGTTAGGAAAAAAATATTAGCAACAGTCAATGGTTATACCGATTTTAAATCTAAATATACTGTAAGAATGTAAGAAATTTAGACGCATAATCCAAACGGCATTAAGTGAAAGTGTGATCACAAACATTTTGTTGTATTACCCTTCCATTGTATCATGCATTCAAATAGAAATCAAAGTAGTTCATTTTTCTTTCTCTATTATCTCTATAAAATATATTTAATAGGAAATAAACTATATAAAAAGACTAATGCATTAGATGATTTACAGACAGTATTAGTGTCCCTGGGACAGTGGCAGTGTCCCTGTAAAAATAATTCAAATTTGATTTCAGAGAAATCTAAACCTAGTATTTCCCACCTGTTCAGCAAAATAAATGATCCAGATGTGTGAAGAGCACAAAATAACCCAAATACCAGCAATTTTAAGCCTCCATTATTGTTTTATTCAGCTTAACAAATATACCAAATGAATGTTGTGCTTGTCAGTATTAATTGTCTTTGAAATTACATGAGTGGTGGCTGTTTCATGGTTGTTTCTAATAACTGCTGGCAGGTGTAACAGTGAATCAGGCTTAGTGCATTAGGAAACACAACAGGTATGAACGACCTTGGGAAAGAGGCATTTGATTTGAAGTTGTCATTTCCATTGTGTGTTAAGAATCAATGGAAATTACAAAGGAGATCATCACTATCGTAATGCAAATTACTTTAGCCAGTTATATTTTAAAGCAGTAATTCTGTCCTTTTGCCCGTATTTAACAACAGATTTTAATATTACTATTGACTTCATGTTAAATAAAGTTGCATAGTTTAAAGGGAAAAAATATTTTTTGGTTTAACTTTTATAATTCTAATTAGAATTATATCTCTTTTAGTGATATAATTACTACATTTAATATACTTAATATGATTCTTAATACTTCACATGGATTTTAAAGTTCTGATGACTTTCACATTCTGGTGTTTAACTACAACAAATTCCCAATCAGTATTCATCATAGTATCATGCTGTCATAATAAAAATGCTATTTTGGTTTTAACATTTTGTTGTTTACACTTTATACAGCATTTGAAAAGGGATTTTCTTCATTTTGTACTTGGAGAACCTGCTTATGTGCAAATAAGTCAGTCAGCACTGACCTCTAATATTTTAAAGGCTATACTGCAAGGTGACAGAGAAAAGTGCTTGGCTATATTTAAAGCAGTATAGGCGGCTGAGGGACTGAAAAATGCCACACTGAACTCAGTAAAACTAGCAAACATTATTTTCAGACTGGTTTTATAAAATGCTCTCGGTGGCTAGTGTAATTTACCTGCTTATAAAGTACCCCTGCAGTTTTGCAATTTTGAGCACATTTAAAACCATTAATGGATTAAGGGAGCAATAATTCATTTTTGGCTAAATCTGTTACACAGATCTTCACTGAATGCGTCTTTAGTAGTCATTTATCCCCTTCTAATTACATGAATGAGGCAATTTGGAATATTACGCAATTACTGATTTATTCCAAAATAAAATAAGATATTAGGTACTTTGTTACTTTAATTTCAGGTGGCATACAGCCATGGGTGGAGTTTCTATTGCCTTTAACGTAATCACTTAAAAGAAGGATAAATATTTCTCATTTTGTTGACCAGAATGGTAGAGAGAACAGATTTCTTTATGCACTTTTTTTTTCTAATACAACCTTGAAACAGTCTGCTTGTATAGTTCTTAATATCACTCTTCAGAACTACTTTTATACCCTTTCGGCTTTGCGAAGTTGTGTGTTTGGATTTTTTTATAAACCTGGAAACAGACAGCAGGTTGTTCTTTGGTTTGTTAATCTAATAAAATGGACCAGTTTATGAGCCCTGCTCTTTTACATCTATTAAAGTGCTAACGTAATTGAAGCCATCTGTCTGTGTGAGCGAAAGGGGTGTGTTTTACGTTAATGCTTTTAATACAAATTTATTATCCTTCACTCTTGGTCTGCAAAGTCATGGTTTCCAGTAGCCGGTGAATATTAATCAACAGTACCATTCTGTCCTGTTCAGGAAATGTGCATGTGAATGACAGCATTGACCTGCTCTTGCCTCTCTGCTTGTGGTTTTCTTTAATTAACACAAGACTGACTACTCTTTTTCAACTTTAAAAAATGCATATCCATCTTTCACATTTTTGTAAATGAACTTAACTGAAGAAGTGCCACCTGCTATTCCAATCATGTATTTTTTGCTGTTTTGGTGCAGCTGTGTATACTCTCAGGATACAAAGCAAAACCATTAAGACAGTTTTCCAAAACACATTTGAAAAGCACAATAATATGTGTAAACACAGATATTGTGTTATAAGTAATATAATTTGAGATGGTATAAAATTGATCCACTTGGGGATTTCTTCCCCAAACACAGACATCTTTCCAATGAACAAAAAACTAAAAACATCATGAGAGAAAATGGCATGGATATGCATTTATTTATCTTTATTCCACATTCTAAATATTTAACAATGGTATAATGGGTGAAAAGGAAGGATAATTATATAAACACAGGTTCAGTGGGGTAGAATAAGGTCATCCCATACCAGAATTAGTGGGAGAGGGTGGTAGATGGAAACAAGATCAGGGTCCTTGTTAAAACCTCATTCCCAGAAAGCTGGAGGGAATGACGTGTAGTCACCTGATCGAAAGATGTAGGTCAATTGAAACTCAGGTAAAGAGCACTGTTTTTTTTTTTCATTTCTGTATGTGTTTCAGTGTCTGGTAACCAAGATCTGCTTATTAAATTATAAAAGTTATACAGTATGCCACATATGGAGTAGAATGTGGGCATGGGTTGCAGTCTTAGGGAGTAGCGCACCCCAATGGCTATTCAGCAATAGTGCAAGGGAATTTTCTTTTAAAAATGATCAAAATAAACAAGAAAATGCTGGATTTGTTGGGGTGAAATGTGGACTTGAGTGTTTCAAGGACTCCATTCTGGCTAAAGATACAGGGCAGGAAAGAATTTTCTCCAGCCTGCTAAATGTGAAAAAGAAACATTTGGAACTTGCTGGACTTTCTGAAGACAATGGAAAATTTTCTGAAGGAGACCTTAAAATGATGGACTCCCTCGATGGCATGACAGAGGTGGTCTGGAAAATGATAGCCTGGAAGCAAGAACAAAAGAAATTTGCACTACAGGGTGCACTATGCACCCAACAGCCCTCATTGAGACAGAAATAGAAAAGGGAAGGATGTGGTATGTGAAGAACATGATCTGGAAGTCCAGGATAGGGGAAGACAGGAGTTTACTACTATACAAAATGGTCTACAGCTGAAAGCCTGAGAAAAAGAAATCAGAAAATAGTCAGATAGATATAGTCAAAATCCTGGAAAGCTACAAAGAGCTGGAACTTGACAGATAGCTGAGGAAGTCTGAACAGGAGCTGCATCCAAGTAAAACTCAAAAAGGTCAAGAAAGAGTTGATTAGTTCTTCGCCAAGAAACAGTTCAGGATGTTCATTGCAGAGGTGGAAATTAAGGATTGGTGGGCACTGGTGGAGAGTCTTCAATCCCAGCTCATCCAGGCCATTTCTGAGAAGAAATTCTCTCAATTCTTTCTTTAGGGACCAAGCTGGAGGCCAGCCAGAGGATAGAAATAGAAAACAAGAACTACGTTTTTAATATTGAAAATGAGATTCTCCAACACATAAGAGAAAGTTGGACAAAAAAAGATCAAAACCTATGATCTTATCATGACAAGCTAGGGACAAGCGAAGGATTGGCATCCAGT